GATTATGTAATATTTTCTTTTTCCTTCTAGTTTTGGAATCTCTTAGCCAGATACTAATATAACCATATCAGGTTTCAAATGCCTGTTATTTGCATTGAATATGTTTTTTCTTTATCATTTTTATTTCTAGACTAGCACAGCGGGTAGGGCGTTTGCCTTGCAAGCGGCCAACATAGCCGACCTGAGTTCGATTCCTCCGCCCCTCTCGGAGAGCCCGGCAAGCAACTGAGAGTATCTCGCATGCAGGGCAAAGCCTGGCAAGCTCCCCGTGACGTATTCGATATGCCAAACACAGTAACAACAAGTCTCACAATGGAGATGTTATTGGGCCCGCTCGAGCAAATCGATGATCAACAGGAGGATAGTGATCCATTTCTAGACTATGGCTTTATTATATAGGCAGTATGTGGTTGGATCTTGCTTTTTAAAATCTTACACTATTTTAGAATACTTTTTGTATTTTTTATGAGGTCTTCCCCCCTTCCCCATTTTCTTCTCTTTCTCTCTGATCAGTCTCATTTTTGTTCTTCTCTTGCTACTTTATTGTCAAATTTTGAGATATTGGGAGGGATTTTTTAAATTTTATTATTTCTTTATTGGCTTTTATTTTTTTAATTTTTAAAATGTTTCAGTTTTGGGCCACACTCAACAGGGGTTACTGCTGGCTCTGCACTCAGGAATTACCCTGGCAATGCCAGGAGACCATATAGGATGCTGAGGAAAGAATCCATGTTGGCTGTGTGCAGGACAGATGCCTACCCATTGTACTATCGCTCCAGCTCCTTTTTATGATGTTAAAAAGTATTCCTCTTTGTGTACTGTTTTTGTAGCCAGTACTATCCATCCTGGAATTTATTCAGTCAGCTGTAATGCTATTTTTTTTAATGCTTTTGAATACCATTTTATGCACCGTGTTTCACATGTTTCTCTCCTTGTCTGGCTCTTAACACATTCACACTGCCCAGTTGTTGCGTGACACTGCAACTCACTTCCACTTCTTTTTTTTTTTTTTTTTTTTTTTTTTTGCTTTTTGGGTCACACCCAGCGATGCACAGGGGTTACTCCTGGCTCTGCACTCAGGAGTCACCCCTGGCGGTGCTTGGGGGACCATACGGGATGCTGGGAATCGAACCTGGGTTGGGCACGTGCAAGGCAAACACCCTGCCCGCTGTGCTATCGCTCCAGCCCCTCACTTCCACTTCTGCTTCTTAATTATCAGTTCATAGGGGCTAGAGCCATAGGACAGCATGGAGGGCATTTGCCTTGCACACGGCTGACCTAGGTTCTATCTCCAGCATCCCATATGGTCCCCCGAGCACCGCCAGGAGTAATTCCTGAGTGCATGAGCCAGGAGTAACCCCTGAACATTGTCAGCCCCCCCCCCCCAAAAAAAGCAATAAATAAATAAAAGTTGTTAATTATCAGTTCATAAATATAATAATAGATTCATTCCTCTTTTTTTGTTCTTTTGAGCTGTACCTGGTGATGTGTGCATGGCTTATTATTATTATTATTGGTTCTGCACTCAGGGATCACTCCTGGTGGTGCTCAGGAGCCCAGATGGGGTACTGGGGATTGAACCAGCTTTACACATACAAGGCAAGTATCCTGCCTGCTTGTACCATCTCTCAGCCCCTAATTTCATTTTCTTAAAAATAGTTTCATTTAGGGGCTGGAGTGATAACACAGCAGGTAGGGTGTTTGCCTTGCACGCGGCCGACCTGGGTTGATTCCCAGCATCCCATATGGTCCCCTGAGCACTGCCAGGAGTAATTCCTGAGCGCAGAGCCAGGAGTAACCCTGTGCATCGCCAGGTGTGACCCAAAAAGAAAAAAAAAAGTTCCAGTTAGTGCTGTAGGTAGAATGTTATATTTTACTTGTGATTAATGTACACATTATTGAGCTCTTTTGCATTCTTTATTTACTGATTTTGAAACCTGTTTTGCAGCTCGTACTCAGTGCATGCATAATTTGGAAGTCAGCTTCTCAGAGCTCAGTGAGGCTACATGTAGCTCCGAGTGGCCAGTGACTGTCATAATCCCACAGTGAACACTTGCACAAGTCAGTGACAGATATTCTTTCCAAATTGATAAATCAAAATTCAGTTAATGATTCCATCTCTTTCCCCCCTTCCAATTTTCAGAGGAAAATAAGTGTGTGTGATGAATTAATTTTATTTATCCCTTTTCTGTTTTTTAAAAATTTTAACCTTTTTTCCCCCAAATAGGGTCACTCCGGTGATACTGAAGCTGGTGTTGTGGGCCTGGTGTCACCATGCTCAGAGCCTTTGGAGGCTTGGATGAGATTTGAGATAGATTTCTCTACCTAACATATGCTCCACTTATTTGAGTCTTGTCCATGCCCCTATCTTTTACTTAAGTTCTGCTTAATTTTTTCTTTTAACAGTCGGTTGACTGTTCTTTTTCTTCCAGTTTTACCTAGGTGCTGTGGTTGTTTCAGACACACCGTGCTTCGGCACCACAGCCAGCACCAGTGCATCAGCTGGGCCAGTGTCCTGAGGTCCTTTCCTCCAGCCCCTTTCCCATCTCTGCAAATTCAGTTCTGTAGGCCAATTTTTTTTTTTTTTAATTTTTATTAGCTGGAGCGATAGCACAGCGGTAGGGCGTTCGCCTTACAAGCGGCCAACATGGCCTTCCCGAGTTCGATTCCTCCGCCCCTCTCGGAGAGCCCGGCAAGCTACCGAGAGTATTGGATATGCCAGACACAGTAACAACAAAGTCGCCAATGGAGACGTTACTGGGCCCGCTCGAGCAAATCGACGATCAACGGGAGGGCCTTTACCTTTACCTTATTAGTGAAAAACTATGAAGTACCGTTGTAGACTTAGAAGTATTTGTGGTTGGGTTTCAGTCTAATTAATTTTGGGCAATATCACTGGTGCTCGGGGGTTACTCAGAGTGTCCTTGGCTGATCAGGGAATGCAGTGTTTGGGATCGAATCTGGGATCCCACATGCGAAGCACGTGCTCCAACTCTTGGCGCCATCTCCCTGGCTCCCCAAACATATTTAGGATTTTTATAATTTTCTGCTGGGTGGCAAATTCTGGCTTTATGCTTTTCTGGAGTTTGGATTTGTGGTTTTTGTTGTTCTTTGTTTTGAAGCCACACCTGGCAGTGCTGGGGTTGCTCCTGGTAGGCTGCTTCTTGCTGATGGTTGGCAGGGATGTGGTCACTCTTGGTGAGACTCAGGGACTGGATTTGCTTCTTTTTGTAATTTCTGTTTCTTGGTGGAAAATTTCTCTTTCATTAAGAATACACACACACACACACACACACACACACATGTGGGTCTGGAGCAATATCATAGTGAGCAGGATACTTGAATTGCATACAGTGGACCCGACTTTGAGCCTCAGCATTCCATATAGCCCCCTGAGCACCAGTAGGAGTAAGCCTTGAACACCACTGGTGTGTCCCCCAAACAAAAACAAACACACATTTGTGTATATATATATATATGTATATGCATGTTTGTTTATACATATTTTCTTTGTTTGATTTTGGAGCTGTACCCAGCCAATGCTTGGGTCTACTCTGGGTCTGTGTCTGTCAGTTCCCTGGGGATTATGGGGTAAACCATATGCTGATCCTGTGCTGGTTAGCCATGTGCAAGGCAAGTACCTTCATCTTTGTGCTTCTTTCCAGTTCCTAAGGCTTTAGGTATATAGGGTTTTGGGACCCTGAAGGATGTGGGGTTTGGTGTTCGTTTCATACCTGGTGATGCTCAGGGCTTACTCTTGGTTCTTTCTCAGAGATAACTCCTGGCAGAAATGGGGTTACTATATGGGATGCTGGGAGTCAAACCCAGTTTGACCATGTACAAGGCAAGCATGTTACCCATCTAGCTTCTAAGGTTATATTTTAAAATTTATTTTTATACTTAAAAATAATTTAAGACTGTATTTCAGATAATAACAAATGTTATATTTGGATATATAGTTATTGTACAATTACATGTTTTATTTTATAATTATTTTTTAAATTTTATTTTATTAAAGCACCAAGATTTACAGAGTTATTCCTGGTTAAGTTTTGGACAAGCAGTGTTCCAACACTGATCCTGCCACCAGTGTGAGCTTCTCTCCAGTGTTCCCAGCTTCCCTCCCTCTCCCCAGATGCCCTAGTCTGCCATGGTGACAGAACCTGTTGAAGTTTGTTTATTACAGTTTGGGTCTCATGATTGAGTTTTATCCCTTTTCTTTATTGTACGCTTTTGGTTTTGGGGTTGTACCTGAAAGGGCTTGGGGTTGCTCCCAGCAGTGTGAGGTGTAAGTGTGTGTTGACATGTGATGCCAGGGATTAAACTCAATCCTCCTCCTTTCAAAGGGTGCATGCCCAGTGGCACACTGTTTTTCTTTAAGATCTTGGGCCAGGCTGATGTTAGTTCTCTTGATTTATTTTTCTTCTTGGGTTAGCAGATTTTCAAGTGTCTTTATTCATCTAGTAATTTCGGTGACACCCTTGGACATATACTATACACACTCTAGAGCAAAGGATTCTGTTATTTTCCTCTAAACAGAGTTGATTTTTGCACCAGCAGTCAGTTCAGTGACTGAATGCTTGCTTTGTTGCCTTACTAGGACCCATTAATGGAAAGCCCAGTGTTGTTTAATTGGATCAGACTATACTAGCAGACTATTCTCTCGATTGTATTGAGGCATGGTTTTGGTTCCCGATGATAGGTTTAAAGTAGAACTTACTCTCGGACTAGTCTTCCTGATATTTAGGCTTCATAGAATCTAGATACCCTTGATATTGAGTCTCTGCATTCTCAGTGGTCAAAAACTTCTATGTCTTTTAGCACTGACTGGCCTTTCATATCTTTTGTTGTTGTTGTTGTCGTTGTTGTTTACACTATAATAGCTCCACTCTCTTAAACCTTTCACTGTTTCATACAGCATAATTGGAGGCCAGACCTGATCAAGAGCTCTCAGAGAAACCAAAACAGACTTCTGTCTCCAGCTCTACATCTCTCCTCTCTTGCTCTGCAGATTCCAGATATGCCAACATCTCCCTCCACAGTCTGACCTCCTTCATTAGGTGAGAACTTTGCGTGCACTCCCTGTGCCCCTACCTCTCCCCCTCTTACTTCTGGCACTGCTGTGGGCCCTTTGAGGTCTGGGATTGAATGTAGCTGCTGCAGGAAGGTTGAACCCTGCCACCTGGATGACTTTTCTAGCCTATTTTTTTTCTTGTTTTAGGAATTTGATTTTTGTCTGTTATCCAATATCTGTTATCCAATTTGAAAAAAGTTACCTTACAGATTTTACACAGTTTTGTAGTGTTTCACAGGGCCAGTTTATACTACTAGTTAATCTGCTGTGCCATAAACAGAATTTCTGAACACATTTTTGAGCACATAATAATTGCTATAGTGGACTGTCTGAATAGAAGAACAAAATGCCATATGAGAAATGCCCTTAGAAACATCCTTAAACTAGTTTTATTTATTTATTTATTTTTATTTTTTTTTAAATTTATTTATTGAATCACTGTGGGAAAAGTTACAAAGCTTTCAGGTTTAGGTCTCAGTCATGCAAATATCAAACACATTTCCCTTTACCAATACTTATTTTTTACCATGAAGAACCCCAATAAAACCCCACCCCCCACCCCTCCCAGTCCCTGTGAGGCAGATGAATTCTAGTTAGCACTCTATCTGCTTTAATTAGATTCATTGTTTCAATAAAAGATTCACCACTATTATTTAGAGTTTACCCCCTCCCCCCCAAATCAGACATGCTGAAAAAGCATTGTGAAGTGATTTGCTTTCTACAGCTGGGTTCAAGAATTAAATGTTGGTTTTGGATTTCTGCTATTTTACTTATTAACCCTGAAAGTATTTCTACTGAAAGTCAGATAATTAAGAAATTGGTTTCTGTGCTCTGGAGTCGTGGCTGTGCCGGAGAGCCGCTTGTGGGGGGCAACTGGTGACCTCGGTAGGGCGTGAAGGGTGGACCGAAACGCCCCCCTTCCCATGAGGTTTTAGTCGCCCCCACACCCCCTGCTCATACCTACTGTCCACAAGGCTCCCATGCGGCCGCCATCTTTCTTTCCAGAGAGGAGAGGGCGAATGGGGCAACACCCTTTCCCCTCCGGGCAGACTTGATGGCCTGGATTAATGCATAGTCCGTTCACTTTTCTGCTCCAAGCTGCTGGGTTCTGCATTAAGTCCTTGTGCTTCTGGGGCTGTGGCCGTGCTGGAGAGCCGCTCGTGGGGGGCAACTGGTGGCCTCAGTAGGGCGTGAAAGACGGACCGGAACACCCCCCTTCCCATGAAGTTTTAGTTGCCCCCACACCCCCGGCTCATACCTGCTGTCCACAAGGCTCCCATGCGGCCGCCATCTTTCTTTCCAAAGAAGAGAGGGCAAATGGGGCAACACCCTTTCCCCTCCGGGCAGACATGATGGCCTGGATTATGCATAGTCCGTTCACTTTTCTGCTCCAAGCTGCTGGGTTCTGCATTAAGTCCTTGTGTTTCTGGGGCTGTGGCCGTGCTCCAAACTTAACTCTGATTTTCAGGGAGAAACATTGGGTGATTTACTTCCCATTGATCACTTTGTATATAGAGAAATGTTGCACGGCTGCAGAAGCGGCCGCGCGGCTTGGAGGAAAAGTCCTAGTTCCCGCATACTCGAGCTATGCTTGTAGAGGTTTCTTGTCACCGGGGTTCCATCTGGTGGAGGCGGGATGCGGCACCTACCTCATCTGGGACTTCCTGATGATCTCGGCTCTTTTTGGAACCTGTTTTTTTCTCCGGGAGCTGTGGAGCCAGCCCTCCATGTGGCCCTTCTCTTCTGCTGTATGCTGTAAAGATCCTTAAACAAGTTTTAAACAACATGAGTTGAACTACCTGAGTCCATGTACATGCAGATTTTCTAATAAACATACAATGAAACTTATAAATACAGTATGGCACTATGTTTTCTATTTCCATTTGATTTTTTTAAGAACATTTTGTCTTCTTTTTCCTTTTTTTTTCTTTTTTTTTTCTTTTGGGGTTACGCCCTGTGATGCACAGGGGTTTCTCTCGACCCATGCACTCAGGAATTACTCCTGGTGGTGCTCAGGGGATCATATGGGATGCTGGGAGTCGTACCTGGGTTGGCTCATGCAAGGCAAATGCCCAACCCACTGTCCTATTGCTCCAGCCCCACATTTTGTCTTTTGTAGTTTATTATGACTGTAGGATAGAATATATACCAAATATCTATTAACTGATTTGTTACTAGTAAGAATTTTGATCAATAGCAAGCTATTTGTGGTTAGTTTTTGAGGAATCAAAAGTTCTATGTGGGGCCAGGGAGATTGCTCAGTGAGCTAGAGCACATGCTTTGCCTTTGGAGGCCTGGTTTGATCACCCGTACTGATTGTTTCCATGAGCACCCCCCAAGCACTGAGCTAGGAACAGCCGTAGCACTGCTTGATGTGACCCAAAAACCAGGAAAAGAACTTTCTGTGTGGACTTTGAATCTCTGAGTGTTGGTGGCCTGCTTCTGGGTCGTTCAGGGGTTCACTGTAATGTTGGCTGGGTCTGTCTTTCCTCACTTCTGTGAGTGTTCGAAATTTCTTCTTTATGTTTAGAAAATGGTTTTTGGGCTGCTGAGAGAGCCCACGGCTGGAGCCCTGCTCTGTGTGTCTGGGCTGTGGCCCTGTCCCATAGCCCCTGACTCCCTACCCCAGTTGCATGGCCCCGGGATGGAAACGGGCTCGGATCCCACCACTGTGCCATAAAAGTCAAAATAATACAGAAAAGTTTTCTAATATAGGACGAATATTTTGGCAAAAAGAATTGGAAGGCACTGCTGTGTATAAAAAGAGCTATTAGTATTTTTGATTTTATAAACATTTTTTTCAACTTTTAAATTTAGGCACCGTGATTTACAATATAGCACTGCACACCACATCCACTAGAGCATCAGTACCCTCTTAAAAGGAGCTTGTAAGTTAAGAGGTTTGTACTGCTCTCTGATTAAATCAGTCACCAATGACTGGATTTTCTTGATTTTTCTCAATTAATATTAATGGGGGGGGATGATTAGCTCCTTTCCTCTGCCTTCTACTCCCCTCCTATCTTTAGTTTTTTAAATTTTGTTCTTTTGTTTTTGTTTTTCGGCCTCACCCAGCAGTGTAAAAAGTTAACTAAAAAAGAAATGATCCTTTAAAAGTATCTTTTTAGGGACTGGGGAGATACTACAGCAGATAGGGCACTTGCCTTTTGCAGGGCCGACTGGGTTCAATCCCTGGCTTCCTAGATCGTCCACTGAGCACTGCTGGGAGAGCTAGGAAGTAACCCCTGAACATTACCAAAGAAAAAAAGACGTCTTTCTTTTTGGGAGGTCGGAGGGTGCACACCCTGCAGTGCCCAGGGCTTACTCCTGGCTCTTCTCAGGACCACTCCTGGCTCTGCCTTGTACAAGGAAAATGGCCTTCCTGGTGTACTATCATTATGGTCTATGCTTCTTTGCTTGTTTGGGCCCAAACCCAGCTGTGCTTAAGGCTTACCCCTGGCTCTGCACTTCGGGACTTAGGGATCACTCTGGACAGGCTCGGGGAACCACAGGTGGGCCTGGCATTAAGCATTGGGAGGCTGAGAATAAGGCGAGCACTCCATCTGCTCCCAACCCCCGCCCTCCTTCTCTGATACTGTTGATCAGACCCATTACCTTATTCACCCATGCAGGACAATTGCGCTACCACGGAGCACATTACCTGCCCTTTGAAAAATATCAGCATTTGTATAATATCTTCAGGGGTGGCCATGGGGAGGCCCCCACGGCTCTTCCCCTGGCTGCCTGGGTTCTGGGGGCCCCCGGGGCTGCTCATCCAGCCGGGGAGGCCCGGGTCATGGGCCAGACGGTGGATGAAACGAGGGCCAAGCCAGTTGATTGATCAGATGCCGTTTATTCCATTCTCCCCATGCGCCTGCCCCAGTCTCTCTGAGCCCCCTATTCTAGTCTCACACTGCCCTTCATTCCCGTCTCCTCCTGTTTTTCCCGCTTATCTCTCTGTGCTCCATCTCGCAGCCTGGGCTCTCTCCACGTGCCTGCTCTTATATTCTTCTACATCCTTCTCCCTCAGTCCCCCTTGCTAGTCTCTTCCCACTCCATCTTGCCGCCTTGTTCTCTCTCTCATCTCTCTCCAGCTCCCTTGTCTCTCCAACTCCCTGGCACTCTGGGCCAACACTGTACCCAGTTTGGTAGCAAAATCAACATAAGAAACCCCTTCCTGACTGCCAGGCTCAAGGGCAAAAATATCACCTAGGGGTATTCCAAAGCCCTTCCTGACTGCCCAAGGGCAAAATACCTCCTAAGGTGTTTTTCTCCTTTCCTCAATCCAGTAAAGGTAAAGGTAAAGGCCCTCCCGTTGATCGTCGATTTGCTCGAGCGGGCCCAGTAACGTCTCCATTGGAGACTTTGTTGTTACTGTGTCTGGCATATCCAATACTCTCGGTAGCTTGCCGGGCTCTCCGAGAGGGGTGGAGGAATCGAACTCGGGTCGGCCATGTTGGCCGCTTGTAAGGCGAACGCCCTACCACTGTGCTATCGCTCCAGCCCCTCAATCCAGTAACTCAATCAATATCTCAATACTAGTTATTTTTGTATGGACACAGTAAGAGATACATTGAGGATTGTAGGGCAGCTCTCCTGGGAAAGTCTTGCCACAAACTCAAACTACAGCACTCAGGCCATATTAAGGTAAGGTAAAGGTAAAGATCCTCCCGTTGTTCGTCGATTTGCTCGAGCGGGCCCAGTAACGTCTCCATTGGAGACTTTGTTGTTACTGTGTTTGGCGTGTTGACTACATCACGGGGAGCTTGCCAGGCTCTGCCGTGCGGGCAAGATACTCTCGGTAGCTTGCCAGGCTCTCCGAGAGGGGCCGAGGAATCGAACTCGGTTTGGCCATGTTGGCTGTGTGCCTTACCCGCTGTGCTATAACCCCAGCCCTGAGGCCATATCAATCATTCCTAACCCTAGCAGGGTCCGAATCTAGTTACTGCTTTTTGGATCATGACAGCATTTGTCCATGACCAAGCTCTAAAATTATAGTTAGGCATTAGGCACTTTGGCCAGACCCATCTCGATGCCAGGGTAGCACATAGCTTACTGCTTGCCCTGTCCCTTGTTGCGACCCTGCTTTTGGGGCCCTAGGAAGTAAGGGCAGCTGAGGCTTAGGTTGAGAGAACAGATGCCCAGGAAGGAAATATCACTGAGAGTCATATTGCAAAAGCATAGCATAAACTGTCTTCTTGTGTCCATACAAAGAGGACATTGTTCTGAATAAAATATGACTTAAGAAGAAAAGAAAAACAACATTTACAAGTCAACAGAGCACAAAGAAAGAAGTTATAAATAAACATAGAGGAATGGGAGCACTGTGATGGGAGCAACCCAATAAACCTAAACTACCTGCTGCTATGCAGGAAGGACAAAACAATGTTATCCTACAAGTATTAACTTTGCCATTCAATATATCTATCTCTTCATTGTCTCAAATGCCATCTTCTAAATTTTGGTCATTCATCATAAAATAATGGTTACTTTGTCTAAGGTTTTAGCAATGTATTTGAATTAGTATTCTAAGACTCCTTTAACTTCAGTTTTGAATTTTTCAGGTTAATTTGGCTTCATAAGTTTCAAACACACCAATTTTCAAATCAAACTCAAGACGTCACTTAGAGGTCTAGGATATTTGCCTTGCATACGGCCTCCCTGGCTGGATTCAGTCCCCAGCAGTGACCCTTGAGCACAGACCAAGGAGTAAGCCTTGAGCACTGCCAGATTTGTCCCAAGAACAAAAGCAAAAAGAGATCACTTAGAAATTTCATTGCAACCACAGTGCCTGAAAAGGTGGGGGGAGAAGGGTGAGGGAGGGAGGGGGAAGAAGGGGAGGAGAAGAGAGAGAATGAGTGAGAGAGAGAGAGAGAGAGAGAGAGAGAGACAGAGAGACAGAGAGAGACAGAGAGACAGACAGAGAGAGAGAGATTCCTGCCATAGAGGAAGGCAGGTGGGTGGGTGGTGGGAGGGAACCTGGGGACATTGGTGCTGGGAAACGTGCACTGGTGGAGGGATTGGTGTTGGAATACTGTATGACCAAAATCCAATCGTGAACAGCTTTGTAATGGTCTCTCTCACAGTGATTCAATTAAAAAGTTTAAAAAGAAAAAGAAATTTCACTGCACCTTTTGAGGAAGAGTTACTCTTTCCCTCTAACATCTTACGATACCATCTAATCAATTTATCATCGGTTTTTATTTCTATGTATCACTGACTTATTGAGCAGTGTATTTGTTACACACTTCTCAGAAGAGATAAAGAAGTGTTTTAAAGAAGAGCTATTACCATGGAAATTCATCCTGAGAATGCCTTATTTGGCTCATTTCATTTTCCTACTTGGTTCCCAGACTTATTTGGCTTTCTTCCCCCTTTTCAGAAAAGCAAAGCAAAATTACCTGGTACCTCCTGGAAATCCACCTTCTTTAGGTGCACAAAGTACCCTACCATAGCACCCAGATCTGCACCCTCCCGCCCCTCCTGGAGTTACAGCAGTTGCCCCCTGCCTAGGCTAGTGTCACTCCCTCAGGAAGGGCTGTTACAGACATTTGAAGATGAAAAGAGAAGGTTGTAAAATGGTCTGGGGGTGGTGACAGCTTAGATATATCATTAGTGATTTGCTTTATGATTTAAAATATGCAAAGTGGAATAATGCATATATTGGTTTGAAAGATTTGTGATTGACTTTAATGCTTCTCAGGTTAGGCATGTGAGATTTTTTTTTTTTCTGAAAATGTGTTTTTCCCCCCTCTGTTTCCAGCTCAGTTTCGTTTTCATAATAGCTTTCCTGTGCGAAGCTCTGCGAAGGCCTGGCTCTCCCCAGCAACAGCTGCATCCCAGGGCCACTTCACCTTCGGGCGCTGCCACGTCAGACGATGCCCGTTGAGCCTGGGCAGGCCTTGGTCCTGCTGCCCCCGCTGGCCAAGGCAGGGGGCCCCCTGCTCCCCGGGCCTGATGCCACCCCACACGGGCAGCTTTCCAGCCCCGAGGCAGCACGCCAGCTGTTCCGGCAATACCGGTACCAGGTGCTGTCCGGGCCCCAGGAGACCCTGCGGCAGCTCCGGAAACTGTGTTTCCAGTGGCTGCAGCCCGAGCGGCACACCAAGGAGCAGATCCTAGAGATCCTCATGCTGGAGCAGTTCCTGACCATCCTCCCCGGAGAGATCCAGATGTGGGTGCGGAAGCAGAGCCCTGGCAGTGGGGAGGAGGCCGTGAGCCTGGTGGAGAGCCTGAAGGGGAATCCCCAGACACTGTGGAAGTGGGTAAGTCCAGGGGCTCAAGGCTTCTCTGGAGTCTTACTGGGCTCAGTACCTCAGTAGTCGCTTAGTGTTTTGTGGCAGTTACTCCGGTTTTTGTTTTAGGAGTACAATATCCAATTATGCTTGCTTTTTTCCTTGATACCATGGTCCTTCCTATAATTCTCTTATACAAACTGGGTATCCTCGAATTTAGTTCTGACACTAATTATCTAGCGTTGATTTTGAGAGCGTCATGAGAGGCCAGTCCTCCCATCCTGCCTCCGTCTCAGGTACCAGTTCTGATGAGCAGAGGCCACTAGCTCACTGCACGTTCATGTCTGGCTGGTCTTGAGGTTTCCACTGCTCCCTCTGCAGGTTCAGTCATTTGCCAGATTTTCTCATAGACTTTGGACAAATGCTTTTCTAGCCTTTGCCATTTTTTGTTTTTTTGTTTTGGGTCACACCCAGCAATGCTCAGGGGTTACCTCTGGTGCTGCACTCAGCAATTACTTCTGGTGGTGCTCTGGAACCATATGGGAGACCGGAAATTGAACCTAGGTTGGCCTCACTCAATGCAAGTGTCCTACGTCTCTTGCCTCTTTTACCAGTTACTGTAAAGGAAATGGCTCTGGGCTGGTCAGATGGAGGGGAGGGGGTGGCCAGAGCCCCTGTGTTGTCCTAGCACATCACCAGCACTTCAATGTTTTCTTCTTCCTTAAAGACTCACTGTGCCCCTTAGTTTAAGGAATTTCATAAATGTTTTATTGTTACATGTGGTTGATTGACCATTCATCATTGGTAATTGACATCTCCGATTCCTGTCTTTCTTCAGAGGTTGAGCGGTATTTCAGACTCTCTAATAATCTGCTTTTTTTTTTTTTCCTTTTTGGGTCACATCCACCAATGCTCAGGGGTTACTCGTGACTCTGCACTCAGGAATTACTCCTGTTGGTGCTTAGGGGACCACATGGGATACCAGGGATCGAACCCAGGTCGCTGCATGCAAGGCAAACGCCCTCCCAGCTGTGCTATTGCTCTGGCCCTTGGTTTGTTATTTTTGGTGATCAGCTTCCATCCTTAAGATAGCTAAGGGACTATAAAGAGCCATCTTACTAGTTCATACTTAGTATAAGAAAAGATCTCATTATAAATAACGAAACACACTGCTGTCTTTCTAACCCTCGAGAAAATTCTAGAAACTCTGTGCCTAGAATCCTGACCACAGAATAAATATGTCTAGTTCTAATGATACCAATGTAAGCTTAGCTGCATACCTCATCTAGGTCTAATCCTCTGTGACTTTCAGTATGTTTTAGCCAGTAGGGATTGAAGATAAGGTCTTCATCCCATTTCATTTACAGAATGTTTAGGAAGTTGTCAGCTTTCAAAATACTTTCCTAACTGAATATTTTAGTCATTACTACTATGTGTTCTCCAGATTAGCATCCAAGTTCTGGGACAGGAACTGTTACCAGAGAAAGAGGAATCTGTCAGGTATCAAGTTGGGGAAGTCGAACCACAAGTTGAAGCAGTGCCTCAGGACCCGGGACTTCAGAATTCCCCTCCCAGGGCTGGGAATCCCCTGAGCCACGTTGTGAAAGAGGAGTCTGACACGGAGCAAGGACTGGGTGAGAGGCCGTCGCTCACGTGATTGTTTGGTTGGGGATTGCGTTCGGAGGCCTGAGAGGGAGTTTACAGGTATATGCTGCCCAGATTGGGACATTGCTGGAAAATCTGAAAACAAAGTTCACCTACATGGGGTCGCCGTAATTTGAAGATTCAAAGATTGCAGATAAACTGCTTTGTGACTGGGTAAAACTTTCGTATTTTATTTCTGAGGAATGAAGTGGGAGAAAACTTTGGTGATGCTATTGGGAGGGTTGGAGGAGGATGTTGGAGTTAGTTAGAAAGATGAACATATGACTTGAAATTGTGAATAGTAGAACAGGTAGTTATAATCTGTCAGTATTATTCTCTGTACCCTCTTGGGGACGGTGAAGGAAGATAACTGGATTCTGCTAACGTCCTGTATCTCTCCTAAGTGGTGACTGCTCCTCAGCTTCCCGCTCAGCCTGGTGAAAGGCTCATTAGGGACCAAGACTTTGGAACCTCACTTCTCCAAGCAACTCCTCAGGTGAGCTGGGTTCCCTGCTCCTGTTGTCCGATACATGAGGCTTGAAGTGTGTCAGTAGTCAAAAATATTGACAGGGGAAGTATTCTCACAAATGGAATAGAGAGGGGCTATCCTCTCTCACAATTAGAAACTGTCATGTATGTCTTAAGCAAGTTGTTCTAACTTCAGCATTAACCTTGAAGAGGATTGGCCCGGGGAAAAGTAGAGAGGGAAAGGTAACAGGCTAAGAGTGAGCCAATATTCTCTGCAAGAGTGTGTGTGTGTTTGGCAGTAAGGTGCACTGTGATCATCACTGAATCTGCCCCAGAGGGGTTCTGTCCTCCTTTGCTCCATGAACAGTCTCTGAAACATTTTGGTGTTTTTTTTTGTGTGTGTGTGTGTGTGTGTGTGTGTGTGTTTGGGGGGACCATTCCCGTTGCTGCTCAGGGTTTACTCTAGTCTTTGCACTCAGGAATCTGCACCCCTCCTGCACTCCCTGGCGGTGCCTTGGGGGACAACATGGGATGCGGGAATAGGACCCAGGTTGACTGTGTGCAAAGCAAGTGCCCTACCAGCTGTACACTCCCTACTGAATTGATTTTATGATGGTTTCATGCATGATGTTTTCATGCAACTTTATATGCTCTGTAACCTTTGCTTAGGTGTTAAAACATTGTGAATTTTACTTTATACCTATTGGATTTTTGCATCCTTATATGAATTCTGTTCTTGAACTTTGTTCTAAGATGAAGTTAATTAGTGGACATCTTGTATGTGGCTCCAGAGAAGCCTTTAATTTAGAGAAGCAGTTTTCAGGCACGAGCCAGTGGACTGTTGCCAAATCTAGAGATAGTGCTGGTTCAACAGCGACCACACTGATCCCCCTACTGAGCTTAAGGTAGTAGCTTTTCAGGAGTGCTGATTCATAAGAACAGTGCCAATTTGCAGGTGAGAAGGGGTTGAAAATACCTTTCTGCACACTCTGTGTTTAAATTAAATGAAAAATTAAAAATAAATTAAATTAAAAATTTCTGCATACTCTGTGTAAAACTCCTTAATGTATTAGCTTCTCCACTCTGCCTGCTTGAAATATGAAGTATTTCTAGCACTGTAAACTTCTGGGGATTATTCCTTCTCTTTTATTGGGGGGGGAAGAATATCTTTTCTGGATTTGAAGAGTAACCATTGTAGATATCTGGCTCTCTTTTTTATGCAGTTTCCCTATTCTGGTCTTCTTTCCAGCTAACTCTAACTGCCCTAAGTTTTCCAGAATCAACTCCTTCTGCTTAACTTGGGGTCTGCCTGGTTCTGCCAGGGTTCTCCCTCCCTTTACTGTTTCCTGGATACTCTCTTGACAAGTGTAGGTTTTGTAGCACTCACTTAATTTGTTAAGTACTTAATAAAAATTTCTGTTCTGCTCTGCCAAATGTGCAATGTCTACTAACTGTTTTTTAAAACACATATTGCCCATTTCAGTTGTTTCATGCAGGAAGTTAAATCTAGTTTCCGTAAAACTCCACTTCACTGTATCACTGTATCACTGTATCACTGTCAATTTCGTTGATAGTTGAATTACTCGGGCGGGTGGCAGTAACGTCTCTATTCTTCTCAGCCCTGAGATTTTAGCAGCCTCTTCTTACTCTTCTTTTCCCAATGATTGGAGGCTTTCAGGGTCACGGGAATGACACCTGCTGTTATTACTGTATTTGGCATATCGAATATGCCACAGGGAGCTTTCGAGGCTCTGTTGGTGCGGGCGGGATACTCTAGATTTGGAAAGCGGCCTGGAGCGTGGCAGTGGTTGGATAGTGGAGGTCGGCTCCTGGGGCTGGGTCCCTTGTTGTGGGGAGGGCTCTCACCCGCCCCACAGCCTGGCACGCGGTTCAGTAGCAAGGTTCTGGGAGCCTCATTTTATACTCCCATCTGGGGCGAGCATCCCGAGTTCTGGAGGGTAGCCGATGAGATTATCTGGGTCCAGTAGGGTGTGGCCTGTGGGTGTGATCCCTGAGTCACTGGAGACTGGGAGAAGCAGCCAGAGGATCTCTGTTCTGGGTCCACTGAGTCCAGAGTCCAAGGTCACGAAGTTCCGCATTCTCTGGGTTCTGTGGAAAGTGGCTTGAAGCGTGGTTGGTGGTGGTTAGGCAGCCATAACAAAAAAAAATCTTATTTTTAAAATAGCTATCAGGATATACTACCACATATGAAGGTAATAATTACTTTTGTTGAGGTCTGCTAGACTATAAGATAACATTAATTTTAGGTACACAGCATGATTTGTGTATAATATTAAATGATCATCACATTGAGTTCAGTTAATATCTGTCACCCTAAATAGTTACAAAATACTTGTGTGATGAGAACTTTGAGTTCTCTCTTATAACTCTCAAATATGCAGTACAGCAGCATTGTGAACTATACCGAACAGGTTATACCTTGCACCTTCAGGACTGACTTTGTAACTTCCAGTTTATACCTTCTGGCTCTCCTTTGACCTTTTCACCTCCACACATTTCCTGTCTCTGGCAATAACCAATCTGTCCTTTGTATCTATGAACAAAAATGCAGGGATATTATGTAGATATTATGTAGAACTGCACTGTTGCACTGTCTTGTGGTTGTGCAAGGCAAACACCCTACCTGCTGTGCTATCGCTCTAGCCCACAAAGATACTATGTATGTTAATTAAAATTTTATTCCTTTGCTGTTGGATTACAATAGTATATACATTTTAGGACTTTTTATTTATACTTTAATTTGTGCCTCACTGAATTAAACATTAATTCTATTAAACATTCTTACTATTAGATTGACCCCCTCTCACCTGACTTCCCACTCCATTCTTTCTTGATCTGGTGACCATATATCTGAGTTTTCAAGGAAAGGTGCGTGGGCACGTGGGCATGTGGGGGACTTGAACAGGCAGTGGCTGAGAGCTGTTCACCTGGCCAGCCCATGCGACGGATGGATGAAGGACTGGGGGAACGGAGGATTTGGGCCCGGGCCCCAGGCTGGTCAGTAGTCGGTTTATTTCTCTCTCCTCCCTGCATAGTTCCATTTCCCCCTTAACGCACAATCATAGTTGGTTATGGTCGTAGTCCCAGTCATCATAGTTCCATCATCCCTAGTCTCCTCACAGACCTTAAAGTCCTTTCCTTCCAGTCATCGTCATCATCTAGTCCTCCTTCTAGTTCCCAAAGCCCCAAAGTCTTCAAAGTCTCGGTTCTCATAAACTAGTCCCCTCTTGCCCCTTATAGCATAGTTATAGGAATCATGAAGGGTGGGGGTGCACAAAGGTGGGGTTGAACATTGTCATAACACAAACAGAGGTAAAGCCTCTCCTTTAGGAGATTAACTCAAGGACAATATCTCATCTGAGGGGTTCAGCACTTCAGATTACTAGGAGATCTGCTCAAGAGCCGGATTCCATTAAGAGTGTGTCACTTTTCTCCTTTCCTCAGCTAGTAATCCATTTAACCAATCATAGTGAATTTACTTCTATTTCTATTTACTTCTACTTCTATTTCTAGCACTGTCATTTTGTTTGAACACAGTAAGAGATATATTAAGCTTAAAGGTTGGCTCTTCCTGGGGACATCTCACTAGATATCCCAGACTGTAGTACTCAGGCCAGGTTAGTCTTTCCTAACCCCAGCAGGGTCCTTGTTCAGTTACTTCTTTTTGGGTCATCACAAAGTTTGTTCTATGACTGTGCACTTAACTTATTATACTTGGGTGCTTAGCTTGTCTCCTTTCGACGCCAGGGTAGCTCACAGCTTGCCCTGGGTCCATCCAGTCTCTCGTTGGAACCCTGCTCTTGGAATGCCAGAAACTTAGGGTAGCTGAAGCTTAAGTCAAGTAAATACAGATGCCCAGGAGTAAATATTATTTTGGAGTCAATTAACTCCCATGTTACATAGTATAGCATGAACTGTCTTCCTGTGTCTATACAAAAAGGACATTTCTAAATAAGCCATGCAAAAGACATAAAGGAAAGAGAAAAGAAATATAGGATTATTAGTGCTTGATGGAACTGGGTGTGTCTCAGGGCACTGTTGCGGGAGTAACTCAATAAACCTAAGCTCCTTGCTGGAGGAGCAAGGACAAACCAGTGTTATCCAACATCTCCCCCTTTTCTGTTTGCAAAACACAAAACATTGAAATTTCTTCTTTTTTTAAAAAAATTTTATTGAATCACTATGAGATAGATACAAGCTTTCATGTTGGGTTGCAATCACACAGTGATCAAACACCCATCCCTCCACCAGTCCACACTCCCACCACCAATCTCTCCAGTATACCCTCCCTTCCCCACCCTCCCCCTGCTTCCATGGCAGACAGTATTCCCCATACTCTCTCTCTACTTTTGGGCATTATGATTTTGCAATACAGACACTGAGAGGTTATCATGTATGGTCCATTATCTACTTTCAGCACACATTTCTCATCCCGACCGATTCCTCCAGCCATCAATTTCTTAGTGATTCCTTCTCTACTCCAGCTGCCTTCTCCCCTCCGCTCATGAGCCAGGCTTCCAGCTATGGAACAATACTCCTGTTTCTGCTGTTCTTGGGTGTCAGTCTCATGTTATGTTCTTTTATACTCCACAAATGAGTGCAGTCCTTCTATATCTGTCCCTCCCTTTCTGACTTATTTCACTTCGCATGATACTCTCTATGTCTATCCACTTATAAGCAAATTTCATGACTTCATCTCTCCTAACAGTTGCATAGTATTCCATTGTGTAGATGTACCAAAGTTTCTTTAATGAGTCATCTGTTCTCGGGCACTTGGGTTCTTTCCAGATTTTAGCTATTTTGAACAGTGCTGTAATGAATATATAGGTACAGATGTCATTTCTACTGTGCTTTTTTGCATCCCAGTAGTGGTATTGCGAGGTCATATGGAAGCTTAATTTCTAGTTTTTGAAGGGCTGTCCATATTCTTTTCCAGAAAGGCTGGACTAGTGGGCATTCCCACCAACAGTGAAAGAGCATCCCTTTTTCCCCGCATCTATGCCAGCA